GTTGAAAAAAGTAGGTCAAGTTAGAGCAGAGAAAATAAATGATAGTCACAAAAATATATCTTCTCAGCTTTGCATCGAAGCTAAAACTTAAAATATAGTAAAACAATTTTAATACGAATAAGAAATTTCTTCTTACAAGGGGCGACTAAAATTATGAGATCCTTGATCTTTATTGAAGTTATTGAATCTAAATGAGATAAAAATCAAACGAGTTAAAAATTTATACTAACTTAAAAAGAATTAAGAAAAAATGCAAAAAATTCATTGCCATACGCGGGTTGGAACCTCGTATCCCAAGCGTGTAAAACATAAGTTTTACCGATTGAGAAACCGTACATTGATACCATCGACTGAAAAAATTGGTCATTTAACCTAGTTCAAATTTCAAAGTTATTGTTCTCGACTTAAAAGAAGCAAAGAAATTTAAATAAGTTTAACTTTCTATGCTATATTAATATTTTATTTATATAATATTTATGAAAATCTATACTCTTCTTGTCAGGTATTTTAAAATAATGTAAATTACAAAACCCAGAATTTTAACACAAAAATAGCAAATTTTTGAATACGGTAGTCATTTTTACCATGAAGACAAATCCAGAGGTCAAATTTTTTTTTTTCAAATTAAAGTATATTACATAAGCTTTAATTTAAGATATATATAAAAGTGTCAGTCTTTCCGGAACATTTTCAAAAGTTAAGTTGAAAAAGTTNAGTGTCAGTCTTTCCGGAACATTTCCAAAAGTTATGTTGAAAAAGTTAATTTTTTGTGAAAAAGTTTTGAATCTTCTTCTGTGGGCAGGGAAAGGGTCAAATTTATAAAAAAAATATACCAAATGATAACTAAAGACATCAAGCATCTATAAAAAAATTTATATTGATTTGGTCATTTTAAAAGAAGTTATGGCAATTTTAAGTAAAAAAAAATGAAAAAATATCGAAAATTAGCGATTTTTAAATTTGTAATTATTTTGGAGGTTTCCCCCATTTACGGGGAACGAGGGAAATTTTTTCAATTTTTGAGGGTAATGTCTTCAACTAGATACGATTTGTGATCTTTTGACATATTGTTCATCAAAATTGGTTCAGTGAGAGCTAAGAAAAAGTGGCAACAGACACATAAAAAAAAAAAAATTTAACAATTGGAATAAAAATATTAGATCAATAATCCAAATTTTATAAAATAATTCATAAAACTCATTTATTTAAATATATATAAAATGTTTTCTTTTAGAGCTAGATTAGACTTTTACCACAAATAAAAAATTTTTCATTAAATCCACAACAAAAATTGTTTATAGAAATAAAATTATGTTTTACTCTATATTGATTTATGGGAGTCTGCTTGGTCTAGTGTGTAGAAACGTATGTTTCAGCACACGAGGTCCCTAAGGTGCCAACGAGATATTTCATGTGATTTTCTTTTTGGTCTCTGGTCTCTGGTGTTAGACAATTATATCATATGTTTGACTCCTTAACATGTAAAAAAATAAAAAAATAAAACCGAGAATTTTTACACAAAAATAGCATTCGGTAGCCATTTTCACCGTGAAAACAAAATAAAGTCCGAAATTTTTTTTTCCAGAATAAAGTACATTACATTAGCTTTATTTTAAGATATATATAGTGTTAGACTTTCCGGAACACTTTCAAAAGTTCAGTGTAAAAGTAAATTTTTTGTGAAAAAGTTGTCATATTAAATTCCCCACTGTGGACATATAAAGGATCAGATTTATAAAAAAAATATACCAAGTGATAGGTAAAGACATTAAGCATTTATAAAAAAAAATCTTATTGATTTGTTCATTTTTGAAAAAGTTATGACAGTTTTAAGAAAAAAAAATTTCGAAAATTAGCGATTTTTAAATATGTAATTTTTTTGGAGGATTCCCCCATTTACGAGGGACTAGGGAAATTTTTTCAATTTTTGAGGGTAATGTCTTCGACTATATACGATTTGTGATCTTTTGACGTATTGTTGAAGAAATCAGTTTGGTGAGAGCTGAGAAAAAGTTGTAACAGACAAAAAAAAGTTTGTCTAGCTTAAAAAATTGCTTAAAACCATGTGTTACAAGTTATAAATATGATAGAAAACTTTTACAGCAGGGTACTCTACTTAAAAACATACTTAATACATAATTAATTACTGAATAAAAATTATTTATAAATATATTTTTTATTTAATTAGTTCATGTTTTTACCAAAAATGTTATAAAAATAATATTTTTATCGCAATGATTTATTATTTTGTTATTGTGTTTTCTAGAAAAACATTTTGAATGTACGATTTATGTACATAATGAGTACACAATTTTTTTCATATATGCATAATTTTAAAAAGCATTTGAATAAAAGCAATCAAAAAACAAAATGTTAGGGATGTTGACACCTTTAAGTTTTGATCAGTTATATAAAAGTCAATATTAATCATACAACCTTGAC